GTCCGCAGACATGCCACTGGGGGGCTAGGAATTAGAAAGGTACCGAAAAGTAAACTGTTACCATGTATATTGCAATGCGAATTAACGTGTACTTAATAGCAGCTGTTTGATCCCAATGAGAAATGATATTTACATTTAGAAATAGGTAGATGTATCATTTTGGAACGGCAAGTGTTCTTTTTTTTTTAGTACTTCGAAAGTACAGTTTAGTTTACATCATTGTATAAACTAACAGTCCCTTTATAACAAGGAACTGTATTCGAAAACGATGCTCTCATTTATCTCGTAATTTTTAGGATATTTGTTGATTTGATAATTATCATTTTATAATTTTATTTCATGGGGAACTACATAGCTTAATAAGCTAGCACCCTAACCTAGTTGTCGAATAAGAAAGTTATTAACAAAATTCACCCTTCCTTTGGGTTAGCTGTAAGATAGAGGGCTTAAAATGATAAAACTCGGGGCTCGGTGCCTGCAGTGTGCACAGTGAAAATAGTTCTTTGTGTAGTGCTGCACTTAAATAAATATTTAACCCAAAATAAGAAAGTCGAAATAATTTTACCGTAAGACTTACGAATAATGGAATAATTTTTGCTAGCTATACTTTTTGGTTTTCTTGAACCTCAGAAGTGACCAGAAGTAACTTCTGTCTCTATATAGTCCTCAGAATGCGTTACAGTAGTAACTTTAGTCCTTATCTACTCCTCAGAGTGCGTTACAGTAGTAACTATAGTCCTTATCTAGTCCTCAGGGTGCGTTACAGTAGTAACTTCAGTCCTTATCTAGTCATCAAAGTGCGCTACAGTATTAACTTTAGTTCTTATCTAGTCCTCAAAGTGCGCTACAGTAGTATTCTAGTCCTTATCTAGTCATCAAAGTGCGTTACAGAAGTAACTTTAGTCTTTATCTAGTCCCCAGAGTGCGTTACAGTAGTAACTTTAGTCCTTATCTAGTTCTCAGAGTGCGATACAGTAGTAACTTTAGTCTTTATCTAGTCCTCAGAGTGCGTTACAGTAGTAACTTTAGTCCTTATCTAGTTTCAGAGTGCGTTACAGAAGTAAATTTAGTCTTTATTTAGTCCTCAGAGTGCATTACAGTAGTAACTTCAGTCCTTATCTAGTCATCAAAGTGCGCTACAGTATTAACTTTAGTTCTTATCTAGTCCTCAAAGTGCGCTACAGTAGTATTTTAGTCCTTATCCAGTTATCAGAGTGCGCTACAGTAGTAACTTTAGTCCTTATCTCGTCCTCAGAGTGCGTTACAGTAGCAACTTTAGTCCTTGTTTAGTCCTCAGAGTGTGTTACAGTAGTAACTTTAGTCCTTATCCAGTTATCAGAGTGCGCTACAGTAGTAACTTTAGTCCTTATCTAGTCCTCAGAGTGCGTTACAGTAGTAACTTTAGTTCTTATTTAGTCCTCAGAGTGCGTTACAGTAGTTACTTTAGTCCTTATTTAGTCATCAGAGTGCGCTACAGTATTAACTTTAGTTCTTATCTAGTTATCAGAGTGCGCTACAGTAGTATTTTAGTCCTTATCTAGTTATCAGAGTGCGCTACAGTAGTAACTTTAGTTCTTATCTAGTCCTCAGAGTGCGCTACAGTAGTATTTTAGTCCTTATCTAGTCCTCAAAGTGCGTTACAGTAGTAACTTTAGTCCTTATCTAGTCCTCAGAGTGCGCTACAGTAGTATTTTAGTCCTTATATAGTCCTGAAAGTGCGCTACAGTAGTATTTTAGTCCTTATCTAGTCCTCAAAGTACGTTATAGTAGTAACTTTAGTCCTTATCTAGTCCTCAGAGTGCGTTACAGTAGTAACTTTTGTCCTTATCTAATCCTCAGAGTGCGTTAGAATAGTAATTTTAGTTCTTACCTAGTCCTCAGAGAACGTTCCAGTAGTAACTTTAGTCCTTATCTAGTCCTCAGAGAACGTTACAGTAGTAACTTTAGTCTTTACCTAGTCCTCAGAGTGCGTTACATTATTTCACAGAGGAGCTCAGTTGTACCTGAGTTGTAGTTTTCATTTCAAAAGAACGGGTGTTTTTAGTTTTAGTTTTAATTTTAGGATTTGAAATTTTCCATTCACCCATACGTTATCGACAAACATTTGCACCGTTCGTTCCCTGTGGGCAATTAATTGATTTTATATTTCTATCCCCTGCAACGTTTACTGTGTACAGTGTTTACCAAAACATTACGTTTCAGCGGTAAATTTAACGAATTTACAATACTAAAATCCGGGGTTCGATTCTCCACAGTGGACAGAGCGTAAATAGCCTCTTGTGTGGCTTTGCGGTAGAACAAATAAACAAAGCAAAATATTAAGCGAAATCACTAATTTTCTATGTAAAATACAAAGGGAAATTCAAGAGTAGTTAGTGAGGTTAGTTTCCAAAATGATAAAATATTTGCTTATTTTGTGTGTGTGTGACTCGTATGTTATTATCAGCTCTGTAACCAATAAAGTAATAATTAAATAAAGTTTGTTTACGGATAAAACAAGTAAGATGATTTTAAAACCTTTTTTAGTTTTCAAAAAAAAACACTACGTTTCGCTAGGTTCACCTAGCGTCGTCAGGTGGATATAATTTTACAACAAAGCAATAGACATATATATGCAATCTGGCGCATCAACAGTTTACATAAATATGTACAAAGCTGATATGAACCCCACCATTAGTTATAGAACTAAGATGTTGATAACATTTACATAAATTCCATAATTTTAGGGCGTAATAAATTTACTTCAATTTCCATAGAACTGAGCAAAATAAATTTGATAGAAAATTAAACCAAGTTTAATCAAAAGGGTACAAAAACTTTACGGTTTTACATTCCTTTCGTTCAAGCGCAAAGCTACACAATGGGCTACCTGTGCTTTGCCCACCACGGGTATCGAAAACAGCTTTTTAGCGTTGTAGGCCTTTAGACGTACCGATGAGTCACTGGAGGGCTGAAATGTTAGGAAAATCATTCACGACCTCTAATGTTTTGGGATACTTTTATGAAATGTGGATTAGTTGGCCCACTTTAATCAAATAGCCTGAGTTCACCATCACTCTTATAATGCACCTCACCCATGGCCCCAAAGTGCAGAATACTATTTATTTTAATGGTAGTGGGACGCGAACCACAGACCTTTGGATCAACAGTTTGGCTTACTTACCACAAGGCTACGCTAAGCTCTACAAAAAAAGTTATTCTTACCCTTCACAAATCTAATTTATTATCCCGTACAGTTACAGCAATAGTAAACAAGATCATGGGCCAGGTGTGGCCAAATAGTTTAGCATACTTGATCTGTGAATCCGACAATATATGGTTCATATCTCTTTGCCATATAAAAGCGCCCTACACTTTTTGGCTATAGTTTCGCTATAAGAGTGGCGATCAAATCTCTATATTCGATCAGAAAATAGTATCCTAATAATTGGCGGCGGGTGCTATTGACTGGCTGTCTTCACTCTAATCTGTCAGTTAAAAATTCAAGATGACTATGCGCAGACTTCTCTTTTTCCTGAGTTTGAACTTCTGTATTAGATTAGCGTGGAAACTGTAAAACGTAAAAACGAACAGGATAATATATGTACATATTTTAACGAATTGGCTTTGAAAAACTGTTAGAGAAATAATTTACAGTATAAATAAATGCTTAATTGATTGTTCATCTATCTGTGCTGTGGCTACCACGGGGATCGAAACCCGGGATTTAGCGTTATAAAACTTCAGATTTACCGGAGAGAGCGTCTCGTAGTGGGCGTGTTATATGAAATAAAAAAAACGTTGTACTG